CATTCTGGAACGATGGTGCCTGTAGATTCAGAGACTGTATGTGTGGTAGAAAAGGCCTGGTCTTGAAGAGAAACAGTCCAGCTTTTGTCTTAGTTTCCTTTCTTATCCAGTGGGGTGGGCGGGCATGGGGTCACAGTAAGGAAGGTAGGTGGTGCCTGTAAAATGTAAACACAGTAGGTTTTCGGTTAAGTGGTAGCCCTTGTTCCTATTCCAGCTCTTTTCTCTAAAATACGTGCATTTAAATAACATAGAAACTTCTCCTGACATTGTTCCCCACTAAAAATCCTGGAGGAAAAAAAAAAGCAGAAAGACGCAACATTTCTTGTATTATATGTATTACTAGCAACTAGATGTATTATACTAAATATAGTGGAAGCAAACTTTGATTCACTGAGCAAAAAACATTTCTGAAATAAAGTAGGGAGATAAGAAGCAATGACACTTAACCATATCATCTTAGGCTGATGAGGCACTCAAAGTGACGTAGTAAGGTACGGACTGTAATTCAGGAAACAGTGTCATAACGTCAGCACTTGGGTGGGTCTTGGGGAAACCATAAGGCCTGGAGGTGGGCAGCTCTGGGGTGGAGTCTCAGCTTCTGTTTTCCCTAGGAGTGGCTTTTGGGTAAGTGACCCCTACAAAGGCTCAGTTTCTAAATCTGTAAAAGGGAGATAATACTATCAAACTCATAAAATTTTGATGATGAAATGCAATAATGGTTGAAAAGTACCTGATTTCTGAAGACTTAAGCACCCTGTAAATGTTAGAATAATGTTGAGTTAATTAGTTCTTAATTATAAGAGAAGTCAATTTTGGATAAATCACATCCATAAAATCTGAATGTATATCTGAAGATCTGACTATATCTGAATATATGAATATATCTCCATTATTTGAGTTGGTATTTATATAGGTGTTTTACATGTAGTACATTACGTAAATCATCAAGAAAATATTGTCACTCTAAGATAAGTGATATATTTAACATTTGCATGTCATCTTTTACCATTGTAACTCTTTTTAGAATTCTTAGGCAGTACATATTCAAAGTTATAGCCTTGGTAAGTTTGAGTTTAATATATTCCCACATAGGTCACTTCAATTTGCAAACCCCTCTGGGGTGGCCACAGGCTTATACTTTCTTCTCATATTTACACATTCCTGCCATCCTGGACATTTTCTCTAGGTTGCCGTGGCTGTTATGGAATAATGATTGTTCTTTTCCATCTCTCAGTTGGGATAACTATTTTACTTGCCTATGATATAATAAGAAATAGGAAATCATGAGTACAAAAGGGACATGTGAGGGTAATCTAAATGTGGGGACTAAGTTTATTAATACTTCTGTGTGTAGATAGAGAGTCCTTCAAGTCTTCAGTTATTTTAGTATTGCCTTTGTTTTAAATATATTTTTCAGTAACCCAACGTGATGTGGAAGAGTAAAAGGCTATGAACTGAGATGAGCATAGTTCAAGATCCTAACAGTTTCCACTTAAAGCTGACAGCCCCCAGACCTATTATGTAATGTCACTTAGATTCCTCGTCTGTGAAATGAGGCTAATACTCTGCAGCATATTGTGAGACTCAGAGAGAGTCCATATCAGGCATCCAGAACTGTGCCTGGTGCACAGATCTTAGAGTCCAGGCTCTGATTAATGGGGAGACAAGTTGTACACACGCATACAAATTTTGAAGCAGAATAAGGCAGGCCCTTCCTGAGAAATATAGAGTCTTGGTAACCCAGTAGAAAGAGAGATGGCTTCTGGTCTGGGAAATTCAGGGCTGGTTTCATAGAAGAGAGTACTTTAGCTGGGCCTGGAAGGATGGGTACGGTATTGACAGGCCATGACAGGAAGGGCAACTCCAAATGGAAGCAAAGCTGTGAACAAAGGCCTGGAGCTCCTGCTGTTTGATTTTGGGGGTCCAGCCCTCATTTGCCAGGGCTCATGTCTGGTCCTTACTATTTCAAGTCTGCTCAGTGGTCTTTTTACTGGACATTTCTACCATTGCTAAAGTGCCCTTGATCTTTCTGGCCAGATGGCATCAAACCAGGGTGGCCTTTTCCTGGCTACTCCCTAGTTCATGGGTCTGCTTTTCAGTGGAAGCTGTTGTAAATGAAATAATTGGTTAAATTTAACTGAGAAGTAATTAACGTGGGTGAGAATGCTTTCCTTTCATTGGGAGGAAATGTGATACATGTTCAGCTGAGGTTTTTCCCATTAACCAAACCAGAAAATCATGGTTAGGAAGTTAGCCTGACTCAGATTTTACTGCACATTCTCTGATATGTTTTTCTCATCTGAGGCTTGTCCACAAATGCTTTGCAGAGTTAACAGCACACCCCAAGTCCTACTGTCCATCTCAGAGAGAGCCCATTCCTCATTCCCTACCTGTGCCAAATGAAAGAGTGGATCTTAAGTGCTTTCTCTAGAATGTGGCTAAGCTTGCTATACTACAATGTGGTGCTGTTTTGAGAAGGAAAACAAAACAACATAAAATCAAGGCAGTAAAGCTAAAAAAACACTTTGCAAAGACTGTCAGTGGTGAAACAGAGGCCAAGTCAACAGTGTGTATAAGGCTGGGAACCTATCTTAAAATGCCTCACTGTTTTTCATGAAAACCAAAAGCAAGAGATGGTATTAACCTCCTGAACTTAGAGAAAAATAATGTGAAGTAACAGTGAATTTTCATGAGAGAGTAATCTCTTCCTTTCACCTGATACAGATCAATTCAGCTCTGAGAAATACAGAGTCTTGGTAACCCAGCAGAAAGAGAGATGGCTTCTGGTTTGGGAAACTTGGAGCTGGTTTCACGGACGAGAGTGCTTTAGCTGGGCCTGGAAGGATGGGTAGGGTATGACAGGCCATGACAGGAAGGGCAGTTCCAAATGGAAGAAAAGCTGTGAACAAAGGCCTGGAGCTCCTGCTGTTTGATGCAGGGGACTGTGTGTGCTTGAGAGTCTCTGTGGGCCTTTGAGAATGGTCTCCGATGGAGTCGGTCTTCCTCGCTTCTCCTTTTGGTGGTGTGCTTTGCATGTTGTGATCCACACTATGAATCAGTCCAGTCCCACTGTTGATTAGAAAATATGTGTCAGACACCAATAACAAGTTACAATTGATGCATCCCTTTCTCCACTGATAGAGGCTGTTCACACATGGACTCTTCTGTCTCACAGTACCCTTGAGTTGAGTTGTTGTTCTTTGTCCAGCACATTTTGCCCAAAAGCAGAGGAGACGTAGGGATGTCGAAGACTTGCTTATCATGGAGATTCCAGTGTACCACTTGCTCTCTTCCCAAATTTGCCAAAGCAGAGAAAGAAGTGAGGGCTTTATCCAGAGACAGGACAGTTGCTATGTGTCCTAGGTAGATAAGAAACTCCCCCCAAGCTCTACATCTGCCAGGATCTATCCTGTGATCACTATAGGCAATCTAAGTTAAGATTTCTAATATAATACTTATAACTTAAATGTGATCATTCTCCTGTTAATTTGAATATGTCCTTGTTATCTTTCTTATTCTTTTTTTTTTTTTTTTGCCCTGGTACTGTAGTTTGTGCATTTATTTCTTAAATAACATTCAAATATAACTTTTGATAGATTCTCAGATCAGAGCTTCTTATCCTTGGCTTCGGGATTTTCCTGGCTTGGGTGGAACAAGCAGCTACTGAGTCCAGCTGATCTGCTCAGTGTCCCTCACACATGCTGTTCCTCTCCCATTGGGTTTTCTCACCCAGGCTGCTCTTATTTCTTGTCCAGGTCTTGTCTGCCATTCTGCCACTATGCCTTAAATGTCACTGTGAAGATATAGGGCAGATGTTATCCCTTCTCTAAAAGTGGGAAGCTGAGGTCCAGATTAGCAAAACAGCTAGTTAAGGCACACTTACTCCTTGATTAAGTAAGTCCTGGGCTTTACAAGAGATCATGTGCCGCCTGCTCCCACGTTTGTACCCCTAGCACAGACCTTCAGACTTGCATACCCAGCTGCAACTTGACATCATCAATGGGCATCTCAGCTTGCCCATAACTGAAATATCCCAAACTTGTATCTGTCGTCTTCCCCAGCTCAGGAAGTGGTGAGCCTGCTCTTCTCCTTTCCCCAGCCAGAAACGACACAGCCCTCCTGTCCTGCCACCACCTACGTCCACGCTGTCTGCAGCCTTATAGGCACTACCTACAAAGTTTGTCCAGAATGTGGCCACTTCTTTCCATTTCTGCTGCTCCTGCTCTGGCCCTAGTCGTCGTCGTCTCATGCCCAGTTACTGTGAGGCGCTCCCAGAATGCATCCTGCTTTTACCTCTGCCCCCTTACCGTCCATTTCCCACAAAGAGGCGAGAGTGATGCCTTAATAACCTGAGCCAGGTCCCATCATTCTCCCCCACTTCCCTGGGACTGAATCCAGGGACCCTCCTGCCTAAGTCGCTGCCCCCCGTCCCCTTTCTGTACCCACACTGCTTGGGCTCTGAGGCTCGATTGAGAGTCCTCAAGTGCCTTGGGGTGTGTGTACCCCATGGCCTTTGCACTTGCTCCTGATCTTAGACCCACCCTCATCTCTCATAGGCAGTGACTCACACCCCCTCTGATCAGAGCCCTTTGAGATCCCCGTATAAGATGCACTTGCCCTGCTTCACTCTCTGTTCCCCTAAGCTGCTGCTTTTGCTCTGTACTTGCACTCGATTCATTTTCCCGCAGTCAGTCTCCCACTGTGGAAACGTAGTGTTCCTCACTGCTGAATCCACTGTGCCTAGACCATGCCGGACATAAAGTCAATGTTCAATAAATATCTTTTAAAATGGTGAAATGCATAAACGTTGTGCAAAAAGTGAAAACAAACATAAAACTCCAGGAGGTTTTTTTTTTTTTAAAGATTTCAGGTTACAATTTAGTCTCTGTGGCATATGCCCACGGCTGCTGATCCGTGTCTGAAGTAGTATGCTCCAAGTGGAGGAGGGCAGTAGAGCACGTTTCAAGCTCCCTCCCTCTGTCTTTTCTGTCTCCATGTAGGATTTGCAGCTTTTGGAGGCTGGAGATCTCACTGTGATAGGAGATCGGGGGGCCACGCTGAGTGGGGGTCAGAAGGCTCGGATCAGCCTCGCAAGGTAAGTGGCATTTCAGTAGCCCTTCTGCACGTGCTTACACTGCTGCTAGGGTGGTTAACAAGTAGCCCCGGCTTATTGTGGTGGTTTGGGGGGCGCTGTGTGAAATGCTAGTCTTGGATTATTCCATTGGCTCTTGGAATGAGCAAGATCTGAGTTGTTGAATGCCGTCATGATTCAGAGATGGGATGTAGGGAGCATGACGCATTCTTGTGCCTGATACGTGTCTGTGTCTTCTAGAGCCGTGTATCAAGATGCAGACATCTACCTCCTGGACGACCCACTCAGTGCAGTAGATGCAGAAGTTAGCAGGCACTTGTTCGAACTGTGAGTTTGCTTGTGTTTCATGTCATTTCTGCTTTCCAAGAACTCTGTGGAGTTCAGGGAAAAGAGCTCGGGGAAGCTGTTGTGCTTCAGAAGACTCAACTCGTTCTGCTCTCCTGTCCTTCTTTCCCCTCCCTTCCCTCCACAGAAGGTCCATTTTAGAGAAATCTCACATAATTATGAGGTCAAGAAAGGAAAATATAGAAGTGTGTGGTGGTAAGTGGGGTATATGCTTTAGGGAATTAAGAAAGAGATAGCAGACCCCCTGCTGCTCCTGACTGTTGATAACCAAGATACTGTGATGGATCCAGACCCCAGGAATGAGAAAGATGATGTAGTTTTTAAATTGAAGGGTGGATCTCAGTGGCCTGGAGCTAGGGGGCCAGTTCTTTGCCTCCCTCATTTGTGTATGACACGTTGGAAGCAGAATTTTCAGTGCCAATAGAGGGCCTTCATGGAGGGGCTTCGTTGGCTTATGCTTATTATTCTGTAGGTTGGGAAATACTAAGTAAAGTCCAGAACTTAAGAATGACTTGTTCCATATCAGAGCATGGCTTCAGTAATTTTATGTTCCTCCACGGAGTCTTAAGAGAATTAAAATAAGTTTAATTTGAAATCAGGTCTCTAGAATCTGGCTTAACTCATGACACTCACGTTGTGTTTCTAGAATTTTTTTTTCCCTGGCTCTGGCTTGCCACTGAATCTCTTCAGTGGATACTGTAACCTAACACAGTGACCGACACTTCTGCAGTTTTTGAAAACATCAAGAATTTGCTTTCACTAAAATAGCATCCATGTCTTCCCCACCATTACCTTGCTGCTGTTCACCTTGTGAAAGCCAATGAGCCCGTTCAGCTGCACCAGCTGAATGAAGCCCTACTGTGTGCACTGTGATAGATACACTTCTAAATGTTACTGTGCAAAACATCTTTGTGTTCAAAGGACGACAGTAGGCCAAGAGAACGTAAGGATGCATACTGAACAGAATAAAGGAGACCAAGAATTTTAGATCTTGTTCCTGTCCCTAAGAAATTTGCCTCCACATGGAGTCTGTGAAGACAAATGTGTGGGAAAAGTTCAGTATACTCATGGCTAAAGGGAGTTTTGATACAGGATAATAAATCCTAAATGGAGTACAAGTGGGCGGCAGTAGGCATTCAGCTTAAATTAGAACACTCACTGTAGACCGGGTGTGGCAGGAAGTGCCCTTTAGGCCTGCAGGCTGGGAAGGGTTTGTGGAGGCTGAGAGTAGGATTCAGTTCCTTTTGCAAAAGGGAAGGGTAGAAGCAAAGGTGGAGAGGTGGGAAGAAGCAGGGCAGGTGAGTGTCCCCCTCAAGTGGAGGATGCAGGTTGTATAGCACAGACAGCCATTTGGAAATACTCACCATTAGGTCCCATATTCGTTCGCCAGGGCTGTGTCCATTCAGGCTGCTGCACAACAGGATGTCGCGGACTGTGTGACTTAAAATGGCAGGTAATCATTTCTCCAGGCTCCAGAGGCCAGGGAAGGCCAAGATCAAGGTGCTGGCAGATTCGGTGTTTGGTGAGGTCCTGCTTCCTGGTTCCCAGGTGGTTGTCTTCTTGCTGTGTCCCCCGTGGCAGAAGGGGGAAGGCTGCTCCCTGGGGTCTCTTATTAGGGCACTGACCCCTTCACAAGGGCTCTACCTTCATGGTTTAATCACCTTCCAAATACCATCACATTAGATTCAGTTTCAAGGTATCAATTCTGGAGGACACAGACATTCCATCTATGGCAGGGCGCCCCAGACTGTGGGGCTTAAACAACAGAAATCAATTTATTCACAGGTCTGCAGGCCGGAAGTCCCAGATTAAGGTATCTGCAGGGCTGGTTTCTCCTGAAGCCTCTCTCCTAGGCTTGCCAAGGGCGCTCTTCTCACACGTCCTCGTGTCTTTTCTCTGTTTGCGTGCATTCTTGCTGTCTCTTTACATCCTCATCTCCTCCTCTTCTAAGGACACACGTCAGATTGGACCAGGGCCTACCCTAATGGCCTCATTTTAATTTCATGACCTCTTCAAAGGTCTTGTCAGCAAATTCTAAGGTGCTGTGGGGGTTAAGTCATCAACATGTGAATTTGGGTCGGGGACACAATGCATCCCAACAGTCACAAAACAGCGAAGAGGTTTCAGTAGAGCCGGCAGCGTGAGAATGAGACAGTGCCGACAGCTCTGAGCCCTGGTTCCTGGGAGCCCGGGCTCCACGTCCTCCCCTAAGCCTCACTCGTGGGCTGGGTTCCTGCACTGTTCCTCGCCAGTGTGTGTGTGTGCGCTTGGTGGGTGTAAACTGCTTGGCACTGGGGAGTTGAAAAAATCTGGAGATGGATAGAGTGGTAGGTTTCACAGCAGTGTGGGTGTATTTAATGCTGCTGAACTGGATGCTTAAAAATGGTTAGAATGGTCAATTTTACCACAATTTTAAAAAAGTACATAGTAATATTGAATCTTTAAGAATGCAGAGAACGGGGAGCTGACACTTGGCGTGGCCACCAGCTCTCTGATCCAACTCCCCTCTCCCGCCCCCTCCCAATTGCGATTTGATGAATTTTCCCTGAGACAGAGAATCGCCTTGTGGCTGGATACAGCTGAGTAAGGAGGCTCTAGGGCTGTGACAGAAACCCCACCTCCATCCTCGGGGCAGACTGCATCATGAGCAGCTCTGCCTCTCGGTTCCCAGCGCCTCACCATGAACCACAAGGTGTCTGTCGCCCATGTGTGAGCTCGTGCGAGTTCTCCTCCAAGGATGGTGTCCGCTGGCCATTGCATCAGTGTCCATAGGGAGGAGAGGCGAAGGCATTCTGGTTGCTCAGTGTCAGTGTGTTTGTCACAAAAGCTCTCCCAAGTTCTTCCGTGAGCAGAGGTACTTATAAAGTCCTCTCGCACCTTTCGGGTTTAATGACTTTGGATATACACTTGATAGAAGCAAGCTTGTTAAAATGGTTGTCTGCTAATCAGAACCACATTCTTTGGGGAAACAGGGCTGGGAGCACGAATGCAATTTAGGAAATCACTCAGCAGCAACTTGGAGAATGTTCTCAACGAGTTAGAAAATTGGATTGAACAATATGCTATGAAAGATGGCGGTTGTGTTGAAGCTAAGTAATACGAAGTGTTTTGTATTAAAAGTGAATGAATTACACTTCTACTTGCCATTAACAGTTTACTTCAGTCGTGAATATATATCCAAGGTTATTAAGGGCTGCTAGTTTTACAACTGTATGTTGTAAACCTTAAGTGTGTTCTGTCACATCTGGAAGGTGAGAGGCCCTTTGATGAACTGATGCCAGTTTGATCTGTTGCTGTTGGAGGGTCTTGTCATGTTCCGGAAAGCCCCATGTCCCTAGGCCCTGCCTCCTGCATGATCGGTCCTTGGCGGTCAGTCCTAATCACACCCCCACCCACTGCCTCTTTGCCTCGCCCCTTCTGCCTCAGGCCTTCACAGACGCCCCCTTCACAGTCAGGATGCAGCTCAGGCCTTCTGATGGCAAGCAGGTTCTGGGCAGTCTGCCCCCCAACCCCCTTCACCAGCCCTTCCTCACACACGCTGATGATTCTAGCCACACTGGCTTTCTGGAGCGCCCTGAACACGGTACACCCTTTCCTGTCCCGTCCTGTCTGTACTGGTATTGTTCCTCCCGTCCAAGGGCCTGGGGCTGGAGTGCCAGGGTACAGAGGAAAGATGCCAGCCGCCGACACCTTGCCATGCTGCCCTCCGCCCTCCGAGGGGGCTGTGCCCTTCCTGCCTCCCCACCATCCTCAGTGGGCTGTATTTGATCGTGGGTGAGTCGCTATCTGCCGCTGAATGACTGCAGGAAGGTGCCTTTGTACAGCATATTTCTGTCCCAGAGCCTCTGCCCCTGCCTACCTTCCTGCAGGGATGTGTCCCCTGGATATTTGCACAGCTCCTGGGCCCTCACCTTGCCTTGTCCCCATAGCGCATGTCAGGCCCTGCGGGTGCAGGCTCTGTATTCATTCGTTGTCTCCCACTACACGATGCAGAGTGTCTGTTTTCTTGGCCTGTGGATGTGTCCTCAGCACTTAGAACAGTGCCTGGCACCTCAGCAGACGTGTGCCAGTGGAATGAACGAAGGCCATGACTCTCTTATTTGTATTCCATCTACCACAGTATGTGTCACCTGATTACACAGCCTTTTACAGGATGAGTTAACTCATTGCTGAATCAGTTATTTTGTTTCTGGCATGATTGGAAATTTTTACATTTCAAAAATTAGAAAATAGAGTATTTTCCTGGAGATTGTTTAAAAGCATATTTTAGGAAAAACATAAATCCATCAGCTGATAGCAGTTATATATGTTAGTTCACCTATAATGGAAGGTTAGGAAGGAAACATTTCAAAACTACTGAGTTGCCCTGTCTTGGACATAATAGCCTATCAAATTTGATTAACACCCTGTCTTCAGGGATTGCTGGCAGATAATTTTGAATTAAGAAACAATTCCATTAAAAGCCTTAGTACTAAGCTTGAAGAGAGGTTTACTTGGTCAATAAACTTAGGTATGAAAGCCAAACGAAGTCATATCAAAAGGGAAAAGTTAATGCTCTGGACTTAAAGAATGAAGCGATCATATGCATCTATATCCTGCTCTGATCACAGGTCCCACCTCAGAAGACTCCCCTTAGGACTTTTCTATCCTGAGTCCAAAGCACATGGCCTCTTGTGGGTTAGAGAAGAGTGGAGACTGGAGGTCGCATGAGTGGATCACTGCTTTTATTTCTCAGAATATGCCTGTGAGTGGTCATCAGCCTCCTTTTGAGGCCATAGAGACTGAGGCTCAGGGAGGTTTAGTAGCTGGTCTGGCATTGCCAGGATAGTAAGAGGGACCTGAACTCCAGTCTGGGTGCCTCCAGAACTTTTTATCTGATCCCCCTCTGCAGGTTGAGTTGAGACCCACATTCCTGAGGTTGGTTTTGCAAGGAGATGGGGCACCTGGAGTGTGTGCCTGGAGTGTTGCCTGTGGGCACTGGGGTCCTGCACCCTGTCCTGGGGAGCTGCATTGCAGACCAGTGATACGGACAGGAGCTGAGTTTTGAGGGGTTTGTGTGAAGCCACGGTTGAATACTGCAGTGTGGGGCCTTGGCTAAGAGATTTGGCATGTCCTTGAAGTCACTGGATGATTTTCACTATGATTTGGGCCACTGGGATTCTGTTCTTTCATCTTCGCATTTGAAAGATTTTCGGTCCTAATGAAAGATTCGCTTCCTGGGTGGGACCAGGAATCATGCCATAGAGACTGACTGAGGCTGGGCCAAGCCTTCGTTCTCTAATATTATTTGGGAGGAAGTGCCGAGGAAATGCACTCTGGCAAAGGTTACTAGGAATCTAAGACCTTTTTTTTGGTTAATATGTACATCATAAATCATTACCTAGGAAATTAAGAAAAAGTGCACACACATCCTTTGTCATAGATTCCCCTTCCCCTTCCTATGCAGCGATATCATATTAGTGTTTTAGTTCAGTCAGGTTTTGGAATCTCAGTATTGCTCAACTGTCTTTCATCATGAAGTACATAAATAATTGTTAAGCTGAATTTTAGGGGGGTAAAAAACAGTGTTTGGCGCCTTCCTCACTGGACTGCTTTTTAGAATTTCTTAGCAGAGCTAGACTCATTTGCTGCTAATAAATTTAAGTTCCTAGTCAGGTTCACTTAATTGTGTTTGTATTTGAATTTATATTGGTATTTAAAGTACAGATCTTTGACTACTATGTTGTCTTTGTCTTATGTTTTCAAAATGTATGTTCTTCAATTTGGAGCCCTCCATTAATGTGTTTTTGCATACTGTACCTTTTACATTTATAGGTGTATTTGTCAAACTTTGCATGAGAAGATCACAATCTTAGTGACTCATCAGTTGCAGTACCTAAAAGCTGCAAATCAGATTCTGATATTGAAAGATGTAAGTAATTTCTAGAAGTCAAGGAACTTGTTAGCACCTGGTGGGTCAAGCCAAGGCCTTCTGTCAGGTCACCCTCCTTGGGCTGGTGCTAGACTCCCTCTTCTTCCAAAGTTCTACATCCTTTTCTTCTCAGAGCTGGTATTCCTGCCTTGGAGGATGAGTCCAAAGGCATATAGGAATGTCTCTATTACATTCTAAGCCATGACCCTAAAGTTATGAAATTGCTACCTCCTAATTACTAAATTATAACTGTTCTAGTGAGATTGTTAGGGAACATGATGCTACCTTATTTAGAACTTTCATTTTCCTCTTCCACTGCTGAAGTCAAAGTATATTATTTGGAATTTAGAGATACCAAGACGTGTGCGTATCCATTTGACTGTCATAATGCTGCTTCCCTACAGAGCATCTTCGTTAACAACAGGAGTGGGGTTGGGTAGCTGAGCATTGCCTGCTCAGGGACACCTACTCCCTGACAGGGCCGGTGGCCAGTCTCACTGCACAGGGCTTCATGTGTGTCCGGCACACGTGGGAGCCTGTGCAGCAATGAGCAGGATAAGTCCCTGTGGTCATGGGGCCCCCTTTCGAGTGGGGATGGGTGTGATGAAAGGGAGAGGGGTGAGCCCATTCCGTGGCTGCTTCCCCGAGGAGGTGGTGGGAAAGTGCCGGCCGTGAGGTCCCCTGTGAGTGGCGGGGGTCCAGCGGCAGTGGCCCCCCAGGAAGGAACTGCCCTGGCATATTGGAGGAATGGCAGAAGGCCGGAGTGTCCGAGGCAGAGTGAGCAGGACGGGTGTGGAGGGCAATGTGCTCAGAGCGGCAGGCAGCAGGCCGGGAAGTGGGATGGGATCCACTGGACCGTCCAGAGCAGGGACTGATTATAAAAGATCCCTCTTGCTGTTCTGTGGAGGGGTGACAGCAGAAGCAATGAGATGTCTCAGTCAAGTTCAGAAGATAAGTGTGGGCCTAGGCTAGTGGGTCAGTGTTGGAGCTGTCACGACCAAGTACTGCAAACGGGGCAGCTTAAAACAACAGAAATGGATCTTCTCACCACTTGGAGGCCCCACGTCTGAGGTCTGGGTGTTGCAGGGCTTGGTTCTCACTGAAGGCCCCAGGGGAGAATGCTTGCTGGCCTCCTCTGGCTTTTGGCATTCCCGGGCCTGCAGCTGCGGCGCTGTGAGCTCTGCCTCTGCCGTCACGCGCGGCCGTCCCGTGTCTGTCTGGAGTCTCTCCTCTTTGAACAGGACAGTAGACATATTGGATTCAGGGCTCACCCTTCTCCAGTGTGACCTCATCCTAACCTGATGGCATCTGCAGTGACCCTGTTTCCAAATAGGGCCACATTCGCAGGTATCATGTTTAGGACCTAAACATGTCTTTTTAGAAGTGCCACCATTCAACCCACAGCAGCTGGCGTGGTTTTTAGGCTTAATGGCTGAGGCATCACGCCCTGCCTTGGTCCCTCCATCGACACTGCACAGGGCTTCATGTGTGTCCGGCACACGTGGGAGCCTGTGCAGCAATGAGCAGGATAAGTCCCTGTGGTCATGGGGCCCCCTTTCGAGTGGGGATGGGTGTGATGAAAGGGAGAGGGGTGAGCCCATTCCGTGGCTGCTTCCCCGAGGAGGTGGCGGGAAAGTGCCGGCCGTGAGGTCCCCTGTGAGTGGCGGGGGTCCAGCGGCAGTGGCCCCCCAGGAAGGAACTGCCCTGGCATATTGGAGGAATGGCAGAAGGCCGGAGTGTCCGAGGCAGAGTGAGCAGGACGGGTGTGGAGGGCAATGTGCTCAGAGCGGCAGGCAGCAGGCCGGGAAGTGGGATGGGATCCACTGGACCGTCCAGAGCAGGGACTGATTATAAAAGATCCCTCTTGCTGTTCTGTGGAGGGGTGACAGCAGAAGCAATGAGATGTCTCAGTCAAGTTCAGAAGATAAGTGTGGGCCTAGGCTAGTGGGTCAGTGTTGGAGCTGTCACGACCAAGTACTGCAAACGGGGCAGCTTAAAACAACAGAAATGGATCTTCTCACCACTTGGAGGCCCCACGTCTGAGGTCTGGGTGTTGCAGGGCTTGGTTCTCACTGAAGGCCCCAGGGGAGAATGCTTGCTGGCCTCCTCTGGCTTTTGGCATTCCCGGGCCTGCAGCTGCGGCGCTGTGAGCTCTGCCTCTGCCGTCACGCGCGGCCGTCCCGTGTCTGTCTGGAGTCTCTCCTCTTTGAACAGGACAGTAGACATATTGGATTCAGGGCTCACCCTCTCCAGTGTGACCTCATCCTAACCTGATGGCATCTGCAGTGACCCTGTTTCCAAATAGGGCCACATTCGCAGGTATCATGTTTAGGACCTAAACATGTCTTTTTAGAAGTGCCACCATTCAACCCACAGCAGCTGGCGTGGTTTTTAGGCTTAATGGCTGAGGCATCACGCCCTGCCTTGGTCCCTCCATCGTTAACCTCTGTCTGTTCAACAGGCCCTTGGTCAAACCCCTGAATTCATCAAATGAATTTTATAGAAAGACTGTAAAAATGCAGGCCCTCTCCCTCTTTAGAAACAGTTCCATGGGTCAACTCTTCCCCATTTCTCCAGAAACAGGGAGCTCAGATTCCTCAAATGAAAAGAGTTAATTTCATGTGAGAGGGGTGAACTAGTGGGGTGAACCCAGTGCTGACACTATGGTGAGTACAGACTCAACAGCTGATTCTAGCTACTCCCTAGATGTTTCGGGGTCTCCTTATTCTTTTGAGGACGCTCCCCTCCCTCCAGTTTTAGTACTGTGAGAACGACCATTTGTTCACTGGTGAGTGCCTCTGGGAGAGCTGGGGTTCATCCTTCCTGTTTGTCTGGTCCTCTCTAACAGCAGAGGGGGATGGCTGTCCCCCTGACCCCCTTGGAGCCTGCAGTGCTTGGCTGCGGAGTAAAGTTGCTGTCTCTGCACCTCTAGTTATTTCCTCATGCATCTTACAGATTCTAAGTGGAAAGTGGTGATTTCATTAAATGAGGTGCATGAATTTTGCCTCCCAAACAGAACAAGGCACAGTCTGAATACTATTCTAAATCTGCAGTATCAGTGGCTCCCAGAAACTCCTTTAGGTTTTTCCTTAGTGGGGCACTTCAGGCGAGAGGACGAGAGGGTCCCAGATAGGGCCCTGTGTCACTTTCCTCTGTCCAGGGCTGCCCTTCTGTGACTGGTTTCACTGGGATTTGGCCTTATGTTCTGTGTGGCGACGAGTAAATCAGCTGAGTCTTGTTTCGTGGGGTGAGAAAGAAGGAACAACATCTGCCCATTATTTTGTGTAACTGTAAGGAGGGGAAACTATGCAATGTGTCCCGTGCGGTCAAAGAAAACGATTTGATTGGCTATAGTTTATAGCTATATAAGCTTGTTATAACCCTCTGCTGTTAGCTTAGCGATGGCTTGATTTGGGAAAGCCTGGCTGGCCGCTTGTGGTTGGCTGTTTGTAAGTTTTATTTTCTTGGATTTGAGTGCACTGACTGATGTAGATTTCAGTTTGCTCATGGAGGCTACCGAGGCATTAGAGCTGCCTCAGTCCAAGGGCCTCCTTGCTTAATTACTTTATCAGGGAAGGTTTGAGTTTTCAGTTGGGAACTTCCTGAGTTTGTGGGGCAGCTTTAGAGTAAAGACCGTGAAGATGCAGTTCGCGGGTTCTGTGTCTGGGGCTCGTTTCCATACATCTTGTCCGGCAGGGCACACGGTACTAGGCAACGGTCAGCAGAGATTTGGTGAGTGGACTTTACCTACACAGATGGACTTGTACCTGCATCCATGCCAACCTTAAGTTTCTTTCTTGGAACATCCTCCCCAACTGACTGTTCTTTCAAATTCTGCTCATTACATGAGGCTTATCTCAGTTGCTATGTTGTCTAAAGAGTATACGATACTCCCACCAACACCTACACTTCTTATTTCCTCAAACACCCATGGTGGTGATGTCAGTGAGATCCATTTTAACACATGCTCATGCATTTCTTTTATAGCCCCCAGCACCCAACACAGGGCATGGCAGAGAACAGAGTACTCAGTTCTGTTTTGAGTTGAGTTGGACTAGATGTGTCATCCAACATTGTGGTCCTGAGGAAAGTCATAATTTAAGACCAGTTAACTTTTTTCATAATTAGTATTATCAGAGGCAGATACAGTTCTGTCAAATTCTTTCTTTTTTTTTAGGGAAAAATGGTGCAAAAGGGGACTTACACTGAATTTCAGAAATCTGGGGTAGACTTTGGTTCCCTCTTGAAGAAGGAAAATGAGGAAGCTGAACAGTCTCCAGTCCCAGGAAGTCCCCTTCTGAGGAATCGGACCTTTTCTGAGACTTCGGTTTGGTCTCAGCAGTCTTCGTTGAAAGATGGTGCTCCAGAGGGCCAAGATGTGAGTTCCTCATCTTGCAACATGCCCTGCTCCTGTCTGCTTTTAGGAGCCTCATGGATATTTAGTCTGCTCTGCACATGACATCTTCATTTGTCCCAAAGTGTATTGTAAGCTTCCAAGGCCTTATTCCATGGAATTGGTAGAATTAAAACAGAATGAAGTGAGTAAGCCTGATTGGGGCTCTCCTTTGCGTGGTGGATGGAGACTCTCACGCAATCAGCAATGGGTGTTCTGCCACGAATTGCTAAGTGTATGTGGTTCATGCTTACATTAGAACTCTTGAATTTGCCTGAGGTAAATCCCGCTTGCACTGGTTGCCCCAGGCTTCCCTTTTTGCATCCAGAGGCTTAATTTGAAGCCTCCCTCAGATGGAATTTACTGTTGGATTAGCATTCAAACGTGCTACTTAAATCAGCTACTTCTCCTCTGTGCTGGGATGTTCATCTGGTTCGGCTGGTGACTGATAGTATTATTTTAGTCCATTGTCAGATGGTTTGTGATAGGTCAGAAGTAACATGTGCAAAGGTCCTGGTACACCATAGACACTTTACATATGGTTCCTGTCTTCCTTTCTTACCCTTTAAAGTCAAGAACCACATCTTACCCATCTTTGATTCCAGAGCGGTCAGCATAGTGCCAAGGACAACCTTGGCTCATGTGAGTTTAGAATGCATTCCAAGCCTTCCAGACAGAAATGCACTAGATCTCCCTTAAAAATTCACACAGCTATTCCTTGATAATTGTATTTGACCAATATCATGAGCCCCTACTATGTTTTATGTTTCTATTAAGGAGTGACACAAATAATCTATAGTGATGTATTAGCTCCACATCATTTTTTATATTATTTTGAAATAAGCTTCTGCACTTACACTTGAATCAGGTATGGTGTGCATGTGCCATGCCGGAAATCACGATGTTCTACTTTAAGCAAAGTCACACAATAATGACCAGCCTTGTGTAAGTGGTATTTCCCTATGTCTGGTAGAGTCCTAGAAGTGATAGGAATACATGGTGTAGCTAGATATCTCTACACCCTTCACCGTAGGAGATATAGCATTTTGCATTTCTACCAGTGCATGAGACATGCCTGACTGCCCACAGATTTGCTAACAGAGTGCATTGTTGAACTTTGAAATTTCAGGGTTCATTACTTAAAATTTGTCTCATTGCCTCTTTTTCCTTCCCAGACTGAGAATATGCAGGTTACAGTACCAGAGGAGAGCCGTTCTGAAGGAGAAGTAGGTCTTAGAGTCTACAAGAATTACTTCATAGCTGGTACTTCCTGGTTGATCATCATTTTCCTCATTCTACTAAACATTGCAGCTCAGGTAAATAAGGACATTTATTTTGTGCCCTCAGCTTGATATTTACAGTCACATTTATACCGTGTTTGTTTCTACAGTTTTTACTGTTAGATTAGCATTCAAATGTGCTCTCTGTGGGGAACAAAATAAGTAATGTTCTCTGATGTTGTGTATACATGACAAAGAGTTTCTAGAAAAATAAAAAGGATGTCTCTTAAAGATTTTAAAATGTAATATGCACTTACCTGACCAGTTACCTGAAATGTGGGGCTTGGCACAGACCTGAGCTGAAGGACCATCTCCATTTTCTGGAGCCTTTTGATCGCCGGCTCCTAGTGAGTAGGAGCTCCGAGTTGGTAAGTAATGTGGGAGTCTGATTTGTTTTGTTTGTTTCCCTGTTCTAGGTTGCCTATGTTCTTCAGGACTGGTGGCTTTCATACTGGTGAGTTATTTCTGGTCTGAGGTGAAGTGCTATGAAATCACCGTGAAGCCTCACTTTTCCACGTAGTCGGGGTTTGTTCAGCTTCCTCTTCTAATCCTCACCGAGTTTCTTTCCTTGGAGAAAAATTCAAGTTCCTGCTGGTGGAGTGGGACCCTCCCATGGTCTCTACCCATGTCTGATCCTCAGCAGTATCTTCACAGTTTTGAGAACTGAAAGTTATGATTCAAAGGGAATTTTTATAAGGTGGATGTACATAGGACTCGGTGAACTGGGAATCGTTTTCCAGCATAAAACATGTCTCCAAATCGAGACTAATCTTTTTTTTTGTGTGTATTTATCTACATTCCATTAAGCTTAATGTTTTTCCCCTCTTCCATAAGGGCAAATGAACAAAGTAAGCTGGATATTACTCTAAGTGGTGAAGGAAATGAAACTGAGAAGCTCGACCTTCACTGGTACCTAGGAATTTATTCAGGTAAAGTTTAATCATTTGGTGTATTATACACGAGTCTGAGGTGCTTACAATGAGCCTGTGTGAGTAACTAGGGCTGAAGTAATTCAGTAATGTCTTTACAGATTAAGAGTCTGAGTCGCATTTACTCTGAATTAATTAGAATAATTATTTGTAAAATCTACCAGAAGAAAGAGGTTGAATGAAGACTTTTAATTTGCTCTGTACTGGATTCTGGAAGTTAAACCAGGATTGAGCACTCAGAAAGTCAGCCACTGGAAATATGTGGCTATTGTCTATTCTAATAGGTTGCTTTAGCTAAATCTTATATTATTATATGGATGGGCAAGGGGATTAGAAACGGATCCCCACCCTGTAGTTTGGATTGTTCCAATTCTGCCTGAATAAACCCTGGCTTTTATTGAACTTGGATGAAATCCTCTGGTAGCAAGGCCCTCCAAATAAAAGCATTATTTCCTCACAGGTATGCAAAGTCCCCTTTACCACACTGCTCACCTCTTGGGCTTCACTGATTACTTAAGAGAGAAGCTGAGCAGGGAAAAATCCAGTGTCTGGGAATTAGGATTCCTTCTCTCTCTCACCTTGAGATCACAATGTTATCGCTTCCCCAACTGTGTGATTAATTTAACATTTGGCTAGCCAGTCTAATATTAACCCAGCTTAATAAACTCTGTTTTCACAAGAGTGCTTTGAAAATATGTAGCATTCCATACTTTTTAAAGGAAATCCTCATCTAAAATTTTGAAGATTCCCACAGGGAACACTCATACAGGCTTTCTGCAAAGATAGAGTGAGTTATCTTTGTAAAAAGCTACTCACTGAAATTTGGTATTTATTTTGTTGATCACTTGCTAAGAAATCCAAATCTATGAGCTCTTTACTTTCCAAATTGGACTATGCAAGGTCTAAAGGAAGAAGGAAAAAGATTCTGTTATACATCATGCAGAATGGTGGGCTAAGGAAAAGCCCTGTTGATGGAATTTAGGAATTTGAGCAGCTTTTGGAGTTTAAGTAACAGTGATGTCTCATCTGAAGGGGAATAAAAGTATGGAATCGAATATTTATTATAGCAGCTATCTCCAGTCTATTTAACACTGTGAGCTAAAGAGATGTTAGGAAAGCTATTTTAATTTTTATGTGCATAGAGGGTGTTCATTTATGTCATTAATAAAACATACAATTTAAATGCTAATGTTTATTTGAAAATGCTTTGTATTTATACAAAACACTTGGTGAGAGATTAGTTGCTCATTGAGACTTATATCTCTTGGTAAAATATAATTTGTATTTTCTTGCAATTCAATTACTTAAAAGATTTTCTGTTTGTATCTTAATATATGGTATTTTTATATTCTTTAAAGCTACTTTGGGCATTTTCTATAGGGAAATTGTAAATCATTTCTCCTGTTTGCTGTTACTTTCCATGCTGGTATCAAAGCATGCCCCAATTTTACATATGGGACATGTTGTAAATACTAAGATTTGAAATATGGAGAAGGAATGATCAACTACTTTTTATAATTATCTTTCTTTCTTCTGAATTTTTATAGATCTTGTAATTGAATTAGGGAAGCCTAGAATGAAATTGCAGTTTACACCTGACTTTTTTTGCATATAGTTTCTATTTAATGAGAGAAAAAAATTATTTTATATTCTTTATAAATATATCTTGTGTAGGATTCTATAGCATCTTATTACACTGATGGACAGTCACTGTAATGGGGTATGTGGTGGGGACTTGATAATGGGTGGAATCTAGTAACCACAATGTTGCTCATGTAATTGTATATTAATGCTACCAAAATTTTTGAAAAATTAAAAACAAATAAATAAATAAATCTTGTGAATGCATTGCACCCTTATAGAATCCAGATGCTTTATGGAATAAAATACATAATATCTTTATGAATTGCCTGACTTGCTTTAACATTATCAAAGAAAAGGCAGGAACCCTGTGCTCTCTGAGTGATGTTTCTATATTTCAGGTTTGACTGTAGCTACCATCCTTTTTGGCATAGCAAGATCTCTGTTGGTATTCTACGTCCTTGTTAATTCTTCACAAGCTTTGCACAACAAAATGTTTGAGTCCATTTTGAAAGCTCCGGTATTGTTCTTTGATAGAAACCCAGTAGGTAAGTGAGACACCAGATTTCTCGGCAAATTTGTCTTGTTAATGCATTTAGTGTCTGATTACATTTCTGTATTTGATAATGGAGGAGATGCTTGGAAGAAAATCACTGTGCGTGTTGATTCATTTTCTACAAAAGCTTCACTGATACCTTTGTCCTACCAGAGAAAATCTGAATATTGGGGGCAAACAAGCTTTTGTTCCAATTTATGTGTGTGTGGAAAAATAAATGAGTGTTCACTTTGCGGAATGATTTAGGAATCCATTTGTTGGATGGCATGGGAAGCACACTACATTTGATGCAAACATATTTACATGTTGTTGACTAGTTGCTAAAACATCGGCTGTGTTCCATATCGTTAAGCTAGGCCATCTTTGAGGAAGGGCCTCTTTCAAGGAATCTCTCTGCATAGGGCAGGCTGTATTTTTCTTTCTTTCATTGCTCATCCCTCTGGGACCTCACAGCTCTTGCATGTGCCCTGATTATGAGGTTTACTTAAAGTGGTAATGAAAAATTAATTGGTGAACTGTCAGCATTTTCTTCAAAAAAAGATTTTAGCCATATAGTTTTAAAATGGACTTTTGGTTACATCTTAGATGCCTTGGGGAATGCTGTGCTGGCTCTTCAGCAGTAAGGTTCTCAGTAGCAGGTAGCAGTTACCTGGAGGTTTGCATGGTTGCTGCCTCCACCCTGAGGCCTTTGACCTGTTTTGCTGCTGATGGCGGCCTCCTGATCTGGGTTCCTGTGAAGAATTGGTTCATCTACATACATCCCAGTCTGTTCAGCTGGTTAGACTTGTGGCAAGGCTCTGGGTGGCTTTGCTTCTGCAGGTGATAACTGACAGAACCTGTCAAAGCAGGATGCTGGGCTGGAGGGGTCACAGGAGTAACCTCGGTCTGACGGCCAACGAGCCATGTGACCAGGGCCAAAGGGCGTAGATGCTTCTGGGCAGGCAGATCCCAAAGCAGGATGCTGTTGTGGTTAAAAGTATGGACTTTGGAGCCAGCTGGTTGGGTCCAGTCCCGGTGCTAGTTACAAAGAGTAATGGCTGGTTATAGTTATATTAACATGTCAGTGCTAGTTACTTAATTTCTCTCTGCCTTGATTTTCTTATCTGTAAAATGGGGCTGCTATTCACACACATATTATCAAGAAACTGTTGGAATTGAGCAGGTTAATACATTCACAGTGCTCAGCACACAGTCAGGCTTTAATGAGTCATAGTGGTGGTGTGGCATCCATTTCCTCACCTTTAAAATGGAAGTGACAACCAGTCATCTTCCTGTCTGGCAAGACTGTCTTGCGGATTAAGTGAACCTCTTCAGGGAAGTATCCTGTGTAGATTTAGTCAACAAACGTTTGGTCCAGGCACTGTGTGAACACAGAAATGGTAGACTGCAGATGCCTGCAGGAATCTGCAGGCTTGTGAAAGTCCAAAGGTGACTGGGGGACTTGTGTGCTCCTGTGGCCAGAAAGTTGCTCCACTTTCCAAGTTAATTTGAAAACTACAGTCAGTGAGATTGGGAGCATTAAGTGGGACTGAATTTCCTTTATCACAGCTTCTGAATGTTCGTGACCACAGTTAACCGGGCTCTTCATGTTCAAGACCTGTAGGCTTCTCCACACACCGATTTATTTATTATTCAAGGATTTGGGACCAAGTCTAGACCTTCAAGGTTGCTAATCTTAGTACAGCATACTACCCTTTACCGTGCCTCCCCTGCCTCTATTAGCAGGATTTTATTCTTCCAAGAAAATAGAAGCCCAAGTAAGTCCTCCAAAGATAGCCCTTGTTTGCCCAAAATATTTAGGGACCATGATTTATTTACTCTTTTAGTGATGGACTAAATTATTTTTTAATTAAGAAAATTTAGGTGGTAGATTTTAAATGTCCATTGGATAAAATGTTTGTACTTTTTATACTGAGAAGAACAAGCCAAGGCTAGGAACTGTACCTCATATTTGACCTCATTGTTTGTATGGACTCTAATGGTTATATATGTATTTAAAAAAAATCCCCCTAGAGAGGCAATATGCTTGATTTTTAAGTTCTGGTAAATATCTACATTAAGTGTGTACAGAGCATCATGTCGTGCTCCCCGAGTCATAGAGTGTTTCCTCTGAGCAGGGCGGAGAGATGAGGGGTCCTCTCTTTCTTAATCTCCATGCTTTGCCATGCAAAGTGCACCCTAAGGGAGTCCCAGGGTCGGTAAGTTTCCTGTGAGCTCAGGATCCTGACAGGCTCCCAAATTTTGGAAAATGTAGGAACCAGGAAGGGCTTCTGCATGTAGTTTTCAGCAGGCTAGACTTGGGATGGCGTCCGGCCCAAGAACTCCAGGCAGAGGCCCGCTGGATCTGCCGGGCTCGGATTTGCAGACGTCTTGTCAGTTCCTTCCGGGGAACATCATCCGTTCCCGTTTGTGCCTGAATATCTTAGTGACCCTGATCTGGAGCATAGAAATGTCTTTGATGTTCCTTGCTGGGTGCTCTCCCCACAGCTGTGCTCTCTCTCCCTCCGCATGCTTCCTCCCGTGTCTTCACGCATTTGTCACTCACTGGGAGGACCTTCGCATGTGTGCAGAGAACCAGGCCTGCACAGAAGGGCACTGAAATGCTGGCTGCCCCACTGAAGTCCCAGGTCACTTACTGGCAGTTAGGAGGGGCAGGGAAACCTGGGAACTGCATTTTTTTTTTCTCAGTAGCGAGGTCTCTCTGCATTTGAACCATTCAGGAGAGCTGATTTTTAAGAAGGTTCCATCTCTCCACACTGAATGACCAAGTTACTCTCCATGTTGAACCCATGATGTTTGCATGAAGTTGACTTAGGTAATTTATATAATATGTTATTTTATTGTCTCCTGATTTTTTTATAACCTGATCAATCTTAAAAACTTTCTGGGTAAAAATTTGAGTCAACTTGCGTGTGTCCTTAGAATCACAAAAGCTAGTTTTCTTGTCTTTTTACCTTCTTTCCTCTCCCCCGTCCCTATTTTGCACCCTTCACTCCTCAGTGCATTTTGGTAATGGTACTGTGTGTGTCTGTTAATGAGCTGCACATCTCCAGCTGCCTGGCATTTCCTATGCCTTTTGATCGCCCCTTGAATTGAAAGCGCCTTTGCAGACCTGGCCTGTGCAGTTCGCAGCATCCACCGCCTCCTAGTCAGCCTGTCTCCTCTCGTCGTCATCCCGTTTTCAGTTCTATCAGATCTTGACACACAGGTATCCCGAATCCCAGGTCAACAGTGAGTCGTTCAGAAGTCAAGAGATTATTTCTTTTTTCAGTGTAAATCATGTTTTCCTTGCCTGGGCAGAAGTAATTTTAGTTTTTACATCTGGCACAAGAGGGCAGCATGATCTATATTATTTCAGAGATATACTGTAAGGGCACCTTATTGTGAAATCTGGTCGTTTTTATTTTAAAGCTTTCTTGCAAATCCCATTTTTGATAGCCTGAGTCTTTGTGTTTTGTAGTGCTGACACAGAATTTTTAAAGTGTCATAGTATATTATGTTTGAAACACTAAATTCTTTATTAAAGAATTACAGTATATTCTGGAATATCTACCATTTCACACAACGTTATTCGGATTTCTTAACTGACACCTTCTCTCCTAGTAACTGAAATAGCAGCCGCTGACATTTTGACTGTATATATTTTGATTCCTAAAGGGTGGAATATGATCACTTGCATTACCGGAGTCAGACATGCATTTAGGGAGAAATATAACCAGTTTCTTCAGTTTTCTTCCTCACCATCAGAGTCAGCAGAGATGTTTTATTCTTATCCAGTCTCTAGAATTCTACCCTTCGTTTCTGAGACAAGATCACTGGGTACATTTTATTTCCTTCATGCCTTCTTATGCTCACATAACACCTGGCTGAGACATTGACTATGATAGGTTCCAGGTAAATATTTATTTGCTTTCAGTGTGTTAATTTTGGTGTCAGTAGATGTTGTGTTTGTTTATTCTCTCAGGGAAGTGCAAAGTTGAGTGGGTTGTGGCCAGTATGTTCATTTTACACGACTGGGTTTTCTGCACTGGGGTGTGTGTGTGTGTCTGTCTGTGTGTCTGTATGTTCACTTATTTATGCATCCAGGTTAAAAATTATACAAATTTATATCATTTTTTTCTTTATAGATCAAGTCAAATTAGGGCTAAAACACTATAAAGAGAAAAAGAAATGTACCAACTTCCTCTTTTGTCATTCTTACTCTTGTGGTGGGTGGTATCTGTGCTCATGGAGGATATAAAACAGGAATGGTGGCGCGAGAGTTGAGAGAACACAGTCTTGTATCTTCCCTAGCCAAAAATCTAGAATTGCTCTAAGGATTAAGATTTCTAATTTCAGTGGGAAATGAGACTGTAGATGATATCACAAATCTAAAAATATCCTGAATTAGGATGTACATCGTGTTGGAGTTGAGGGTTGCGAGGAGGAGGGTGGTGGAGCTTGGAACTCCTGTTGTTTCCTGAGCCTAAGAAGGTGCCCTTAGCATCCTGTCCCAGTCCCTGAATAAATGCCTCATGGAGAAAGGGAAAGTGAACTGAAAGCAACATGGTGTTTTTTGGACTATCAGGAAAACTGTCTTGCTGTGCTATTTATAAAATCAGTTGTCAGATTACCACTGCCTTGTTAGAAAAGAGTCATCACTGGAGAAGAAAGATAATTGTGAGGCTACCGATGTATTTATTCAGGTCAAATGACCCCTGGAGTTAGTGGTAAACGCATATTTTTAACAAGTATAATATTTCAGCCCTGTCAAAATTACCTTGACGATAATAGGCCTGTTAAATTATAGCTCTATAAGTTAGGAGGTAAGATGGCTCTGCTTAGCACACATTAATCTATGCCTGTTCACACAAGTGATTCTGCTGAGCAGGTAGCATGTTAGAACAAGAAATACTGGTCTTCAAACCTCTGATTTATGGTAGGTGTTGTTTTGACACGGCATTATTCAGACGATTTACAAGGTATGGCTTCGTGTTAAAATATTTCACCAGT